ATCGTCGAGTCTCTCTGCTATCTGGCAAGGCATAACCGAATAACCGATAAAACGTTTGCGTCATAGCGCCACCTGCGCCAGGCATGCACACAGTCTGTTGCGTAAATACACGTGTATTGCGTGTGCACACATACGTACGATACGTACGATACGTCGAATGTACGGAATTTGTCGTAAATTTGCGCACGCCCGCGCGCGCGCCGCGACGATCAGTCGCGAGGCAGCATTGCGTAACGTGGGATGTGAACATGGGTGTTCACTTTGTCGTCCGTAAAGGCACGACGGGATTAGAAAGACGTCTCTTAGATTACTGAAGCCGTCTCCTTAAAGGCTTCCTTTATACGTATACAGTATTTAAAAGCGAGAAAGAGTAAGAGTGTAAATCAAAAAATTATTAATCAGGAATGTTGGAAGAAACGGATCGGAGAAAACTTGTTGAGCGAGGCTATCTAAACTCTGAGTAAACGTTTCTTAATTAACGCGGCTCGTTAAATTAACTTTGCCAGTGATTTTCAGGTACTTATAATGATACAGGTGACTTGCTCACCTCCATCACGTACGCGGTATTTAAACAGCAGATTATCTTATCCTATATTTTTATCTCGATGTTTAAAAAGACGTAAAGTAGTCTGCCCGAGTCTGCCCTCCTTCCATTTCTACGCTTCGTATCTTCGTACACTCGTATCTCATACATTCATGCATTCAAGTAATCTTTTTTTTTTCGTATCACTTGACAAACATTCTCTATACTCGCTACATATGACGTTTATATTAGCCTCTTGCTGCAATACATAAATGTTGCTCGCATTGCGCAATATTTAAATCAGATTTTATGAAAGATCGATAAGACGTGAGATTGTACCCGCTTATCTTTTTCAAATCCCCCGATTTATAAATCGTCTGGATTTCCTTTTGCGAAAAGACATATTGGGAACTCGGCGTATCCGTCAAGAATAATCGCATGTCTTTCGAATCCCCTTGAAAAAACTTTTTCTTCAACATCCCGCATTGATGATATACACGCGCAAGCGAAGCTTTGCCGGATGTAGTGCTTTAGCGGAAATAATAGGGAAGCGAGGGAGGAAATAATCCGCTAAAGGTACATCGGCGCTGGCGAGGTACGTATTCACGGCGTATGAATAGGAAAAAAAAAAGTAATATTCATCGCGCGAACAAGTACGTATACTTCTGTTACGTGCGTTACTCACGCAAGGCGCTTCGAAAGACCGTCGTCGTCCGTGGAGAGCGCGCGCGCGCGTGCGCGCGCGTGTGCTCCAAAATTAAACCCGTGACTTACGCACGTATAGAGCACCGATCGCGATCGCGCGATACCGCGCACGCGGTCGTATGCGTGGCAGGAAAAAAAATTCGCTTATCTGGGGCGCCAGCGAGCGCGTTGGATTCCTCGGGCGGCAATCGTTTACGCCGGGGCTCTCGATTTCGTAATCTCTCTCGCCTTCCTCGTATCAGTGTCCGATTGCTTTTGCCGTCAGCCACCCTCCTGTGCCCCGCGCCGCGCCACGTCGCCCGCGATGAGAGAGAGAGAGAGAGAGAGAGAGGGGGGGGGGTTCATCCTTCCTCCTCTTCGTTTCCCGTCTCTGAATGGAGGCGTCGGAATTCTTATCGGCCGCCCCGGAGAACGCCGTAGTATTACGTCATACGCGGGGCCACGCCGCAAATCTGTTGTCCGTCGCCGCTAACTATAATTATACCCGTTATTCCCCCTCCCGCCGATGCTACATAATTGCGTCGTATGGCGCGTGCTGTGGAATATTTCGTGACGCGGAATTCGAGAACGAAATTATGATTCTTGAAAGGCGGGAGATTGATGCGACGCTATATATCTATACAATAGATCGTGCGCCGGATTGTTGATTGCCGATTTTCCGCGACTACATTTTCAATTCCTTTTCTTCATTACTTCAACACATTCGTCATTTATACGCTCTACGATTTTATATTGGTCTGCCGACGTTTTCATGTACGATAAAAAATTACAATCAATTTCAAGTATTTATATTGCCAAGTATAAATCTGCGTTTGCATCCCGATTTTTCACGTTGCACTTGGAGCGACGTAAATTAACGGGACGTATCGAAAAAGGAATATTTTATTAAAAAAAAAAAAAAAAAGAATTACGGAGACCAGTTTCTTGCAGCTGTCTACGAGGAGATCATGCGGCGTGATCGTTCGCCATTCGAGAATGCCGCCGACGGCGGCGTCTCTTTCGAGGGCGGTCAACAATTTTTCAACGGCGAAGCGTTATCGCGCTCGGTGAACGTCGCGGCTCCGCTATCGCTCCGCGCACGTACGATTGTGTCGCTTCGTGTTAACGCCGCTCCCGGGGTCTCTTTAAACGCATGCATTCAGCGCGTGTTCCCCATTCGCGTTCGCCAGGCCAGGCTTCATTCACGTACCGCGTCGTCGTCGCGCCGCGCCGCGAGCCGGGGGGACCGGATGTCGGCCGTCACGGCGATTCGATATCCCGGGCGGCGTGTTCGATCGCACGAGGGTCAACGCGGGTTAAACCCGGAGTTGTGTTATTCGCAATGGACGCGTGACCATGGAATATCGCAGGGAAAAAGAAAGAGAAAGAGGGCTGGAAGAAGGAGAAAGAATGCGTTTCGATCGCTTAATTATCGCGTTGCACGACTTTGCGTGCACTCGGATGTTGGTACTTAAAATAATAGTAGATATATGATAACGCTAAATTAAGAACGTTTGGAAGTATAACGGACTCTTCACGGTCGCGTGGTTTCAGCTTTGCACCAAGCAACTTGTTATACGCCCCCGAATTTGCATAACTCGTATACCGCGAATCGTTACAAATAATATAACGATTTTTGTCATTCGGTACAAGAATATTTATGGGCAATTATTGGTTGAATAATCCCACCAGATGTAAATTGATAAGTATCGTAGTAAATCGCCGGGCAGGGAGAACGGCTTCCGCTTCCTCGAGAGAGAGAGAGGGAGAGAGAGAGAGAGAGAGAGAGAGAGAGAGAGAGAGAGAACGATTACCGTCTGTAACGCGCTCGTGATCGTGCATTCCGCAAATATTTTAACGATTATTGTTCCCGTTCAATTTCATTCGAGTGAACTTTGTTCGGGTGAACGCTCGTCCTTTAATTAAAGCCGGGCGAACGGACGGACGTGCGTCGAAGGCGAAAAATCGCGGGTGCCTCCCTTTTCCGCGTTCACCGCTTCAATTATCTTTTCAACGCACTCGTCGCCGTCGTCCGTAAGGTGAAATTCCGTTGCGTGCGCGCGGCTCGGTGAGTAGCGCGCGGTGCCTCCTATCAGAATCGTTTGCCGTGCGTGTCCGCCCACTCGCCGCCGCCGCCACACACGTTGTCGTCGTCACCGCCGCAAGCCGCGTGCACAGAGAGTGCCGGGAGGTACTCGTAATCTGCGATAAAAACCTATTAAAATATGATCCCGCAGGATCCCTTGCGTTCGCTCGCGTGGCTGAGTTATACGTTTCCTGCGACTGAGCGGCCTGAAGCGTCATTTCATGATGATTCCACGAATTCGCGCGAGCCCGGAAAGCCCGCCTAGCCAGAGGATCCGCACTCTCGTTACTCGAGCTGAGCGCCAAAAGTTGCGTTAGCTACAGACATCCGTGACGTCCTCGGTTATATAAATCGCGAGAGATAAGATAAGATATACAAATCGTTGAGAAATGATTTTTTGACGTCGACTCTTTAGAAGTGAACGTGTCGCCTCTCTCGAAGTAACGAGTGTAACTTAAGAATAGTGCAAGGGTTCGCTCCGTGTGTGGACGCAGCTTAATGCTACTGCGCAACTCGTGGAAGCTAATAACGCTTGTAAGTGAAGGTTGTGATGCTAGAGCGAAGACACGGAATACGTTATTTCATTGCGGACTTGTAGATACTCCTCACGGCATCCTCTCCGGCACAAGTGCATCACCGCCACTGAAAATAGAACTGCCTTGCGAAACGTTTCTTTCGAACTCTATCCCCCTCCTCCGTCGTATAACGTCCTATTCAAGTCTGTTACATTGTCGCAATTACATTACACGTATACCTACACAAATACACGAAGTATTTTATTTCATATAGTCGAGACCGCTTTTTCTTTAGATACGAATCTTAAACGACATCACTTGGACTTTTTACTAGTTATTAATATTTTCAATGTTAATTTAGTGTTACAGAAAAATCTTATTTGTATATTATATATCAATGATTTCGACATATAACGGCGCACGTGCCTGCTGTGCGTGCTTTAAATTATCTGATGCACAGAATCTTGCCGAAATTGCATCATGTCAAAGTGCGCGTGCACTTGGATCATCCACGTGCGCCGTATGTTTACTTACTTTATTTTCGCATTTTTAGCATCGCGCTCGTATGTACGCTTTCAACATAAGCGGCCCGCATAATTCCTCGATTCGATTTCATAATTCTTTTATTCAACAAAATTTATTGTTCGAAAAGACGAAAAAAAAAGCGACGGTATTGCGTAAACGACGTCCTTTATCGTCGACGCCCGTCTGCCGTCGTTTTCTGCCTGCGCGGAACTCGCTGATCGGCGCTGTTGCGCCGTACAGCGAGAAAGAATGACGGAGACGGAGTGCCGGTTCGCAGTAATGAATGGATTAAACAGCGTGACGTCACAGGATGGATTATATAAACGGTGGCGCGCGTGACATCGGACGTAGGAAGGAAGTTCGCTTCCTTTCGTACCTACAAGGTATTCCGTTCGTGCACGCGTGCAAGTGTATGTGTGTGTGCGCGCGCGTGCGTGTGCGCGTTGTGTACGCACGGACCGTTTCGTTGTCGAGGGGTCCGTCCATTTGAAAGCGGACGAGCTCGGTTAGAATCCTAATGACGACAGTGGCCGCCTCTTTTCATCTCCTTCTCGATACGGTGGCCGGCGTGCCCGGCCGACCTGCGGAGCGTGCACAACGCGAAATTATCGTTCACCGTCCGTGATAATTCGTACGTTCTAATTGTTGATTTTACATCTGGTTGCAGGCCTGCGTGGTTGCGACGGGTGCGTGCGACGTGCGTGCATTCCCGCGGCGCGGTACGGCGGACGTCGGCCCTGGCGGTTTCGAGAGAACGAGATTGTAAGTCTCTTTCTGCTTCCGTATAATTATACGAACTCGACTTTTGTAGGTAAAAACACGTTCCGCGCGCGTGATCCGTGAATCACGCTTTGGAAACTTCCGTTAATTTCGGACAATGGGATCGCAATGAGATAATTTTACGCTTCTTACTACGAAATTGTTGGGAGGGCTTACATTCTTAGGCGAGCGCGCTCGCCTAAGAATGTAGACCAATTTTTTTGTAATTAGATCGACCAAAAATTAATGTAATAATTCTCTAATAGCTGGCTATCAGATAACCATTAGTAACGTATATATCAAATTAAATAGCCATTAGTTACAAACTACACCGATAATAGATACGCATTAATATCACGAAAATACTGGCAATATATGGCCTTATAAATTATAATTGATTTCTATTTATATATATACGAGTTATATATGATATGCTTAAAAGCGCAAGTTCAAGTAATATCTTTTTACCTGCGAGTGATTAAACGACTCCGGAGTGTAAATTACGATATTGTTATTACGCACTTTTACAGTAATTACTCTGGTTTTTATCGTTTGTTTTTTTATACAATTCATACATAAAATATGCGCAGTTTCTTCTCAATGAATGAAATGCATGTCAAATACAATTAGCAATTTTTAAGAAACAAAGAATCTTTTATTTAGCAAGAGGATATGACACGTGTCGATTCCATCGATCACATTTCAAGAATAGTACTTCATCATTTAATTTAGAGGATAAAATTGATCGTCTATAATAAAATTAGAGAGTATTGAGTGCAGAGAAATTCATAACCAATCGAATGTAATACTTCGCTCAAGCAACCTGTCGTGTCATATTGGTTAGCACTTCGTCTCTATTTCGTTTTCCCAACAGCTTGCTCATCATTATACCGATATTATCGAAAACGTATCGTTTCGTCGTATAGTACTTATATATGCTTAAAATTCCATACCGACAGGAAGAATATTATCATAACCGTCCCCACCTCGATATGCAGATATATTTGGATGGGACTATACGCGCCCACATGACGCAGGCGAATTTAATTTATCGCCCCGACGCACGGAGTTCGCCGAGGTGTCGGTCGAACCGCATGGACGGATCCAATTCTTGGGATCTTCGCGACGACGACGCGACATGGGCGTCGCGCGTTTACGCAATTCCGGCCCCGTCGTCATATCCGCATTCGTCCCGTTTCCTCGGGGTCCTCGCCTAGGTCTTCGCGCCGATTATTAGCCCGTAGTCTGGGAGCCGTCTGCGGGTCGACGTCCGGCGTCCCGGAATAGACGCGTCCCGCGCCGCGCCGATGCTTGTTACATTCTCTTCTGTCATCTATACGAAAACGGACGCGCCGCTGGATCTCGCGATTTCCGGGGCTGGCTTCGCGCGACGGGAAACGATTCCACCCGTAGTCTTCGAGAAATACGCGAGGAAAATAATTACGTATATGTATATGTTCAAGACATCTTAAAAACGCGGTTCTTCTTTCTAGGTTTGTTCAAATTGAGAAAGGTATAAAGTTAAAGAGAGACCGTGTTCTTATATTTCAAGATCAAACTTTTCATTTGTTTATCACAATTTTTCTAAGGGCGCTGGATGGAATACTTTCGCTGTATTTTAATAAGAACTAACGATCGTCGGTTCAAAATCTTGACCACAATTCATCCCGCTCGATCGTTGCGTTCCTTTCGGTTGCACCATCTCAGCGGCGAAGCTGCTTATACCCCTCTCCTTTTTTTCTCTCCTATCGCCCGGTAATACGTCACGATGATCACCCCGCGAGACCGGTTAACAGCCATCCTCTCGAAGGGGCAGGTGCGTTAGGTACCTACGTAGCGCTTTTGTACGCTAAGGGAAAAGGGCAGCTGCTTGTTCCTAGACACAAGGAGACGAAGGGCAAGCAAGTAGCGGAGGAGATGGCGGGGAGGAAGGAGGAGGAAAGAAGACGAAGGGCGAGAACGGGAGGTGGCTCGCTGCTAAGGTAAACGATATAATGGGGACGTAACAGTGGGTCCTTTTCAGTGGCAGATGTCCTGGCCGAGACACGTGCCCGCGACGTGGTCCCCCTTTTTCGGAGGGACGGGGGGGAGAGAGAGAGAGAGCCGTCGCCCCCTTCTTTCTCCGTGCTCCGAGGAGGAACGAGAGCGGAAAACCCCCGAAAAAGAAGGGGGCCTCTCGTGCAGTAAGGGCTCGCGCGCGCGTTCGCGCGTCCTACGTCGCGCCGCTTCCTTTCTTCCGTCCTTTCTTTCCGCCCATGCGCCTCTTCTTTTTTCTCTCCTGAGCTCGGAGGGACGCACCAGCTGCTCTCGTTATACAGCGGATTTCGCACTGGCGCGACGTAACAGCGAGTCCGTTGCTTCGCGCCCTATTTGCGCGAAGATTTGAGATCCTGCACGGACTTTTACTGATCCGAAAATACCGTCTTTCAATGTTCACACTGCAGAAAGTCTCGGAGTATAAGGATTAGACAGGGACTATTTTTGCTGGTGGAGAATAAGTTAGTAATAGTTGTAATAAAATAACTATTTAATTTTTAGCTCTTGGAGTGAAAGTATACTTTAAAAATTTGATAAAAAGAAATACACAGCTATCCATGCAAGAAAATAAGAATATAAAATGTGGAGTATATAGTAAGAAAATATAAGATAAAGAGTGCGTAAAATTAAAATGTGATAATGTAGGAGCTGGATAATAGTAGAATTAGAGAAATTAATCGAATTAGTTACTTGTTATCATATCATTAGCTATTTAAATAATATTCTCTATGTTTAGTCATAAAAATGTTTCCAATTTTGTGCAAAATATTTGCTTGAAACTACTTCCGCATACGAACATACCATAGAAACGTTTCGGAATCGCTGCGAGTGTAACGTAATTGAATGTGAGATCTTTATAAACCGCACCATTCGATTTTACGCGGTACATTTGCGCTTTTCGATTTCTCCTATGTCACCTCGATTCGGTTACGGATCTCGCATCCTAGATCACCGGCAAAGTGGCCAGGGGGTGAGAAGATGTAGAACGCCGCGGCGAACAAAGAGAATTTGAAGCAGGTTGGTTGCCGACCGTGCCCGAATAAGCCCCTCAGGCAGATATACAGTACACATATCGTCATGCCAAATTCTTTCAAAGGGCAAACATCGAGCGAGCGGCTGCATTGAGCGCGTTTCGCGGAAAGCTTGTCGTCTTTTCTGGCCGCCGGCTTAAAACCGGTCCAGATGAAAAATACCTCTAACAAGTTTTCTAACAGGGCACGCCGCAGGATATCCCTCACGAAGTGTGAAACGACGTTACAACAGATTGATGCACGAACGATCCCAAAACTACACCTATCTCTTCCAGCATATTAACGCATTAAGGAAAACCCGCACAGAGTTGCGCGAACTTTTATTCTATTTTACAAAATGCGTGTAAAATTATACATATATACATTTCTCGTGATAAAATAGGGCTGCGTTAATAGCATCGAACGTGTATGCGCGTGCGTGAAAATTGACATTCGCGGAATTATGTTTTCAATTTGACCGTCCCGCGACGGCCGGCGCCCACATTCGTCCCGCACCCTCACTGTACGACTTTTCGTCGCCACAAAAGCCGTTATAATATCTCTTACGTTTCGCCTTCAATGAGTTTCAATTCAGTTCCCGTGTACGTTGCACGTATAAAAGCGAGCTTTACACCGCGTCGTCTGAGAGCCGCTGCGCCGCCGTGCGACTTTTTGAGTCGCTTTGGTCTCACGCCGGGACTATGGACGGCGTATACACGTATTAACGTGCACACACGTATATTATATATATATATATATATATACACATGTATCCATGCACGGCCAATGCACTAGCACGCGGTTACGCGCATGTATGTACACCTACGACGTTAGAGAGAGAGAGAGAGAGAGAGAGAGAGAGCCCCGTTTTACACACGCCGCGCGCGTACATTACGCGCGATATATCGAGCGCGCATTCCTGCTCGATACCATTACGCGGCCGGCACCGCGCGACTCGTCGATACTCACCGTGATCGGTATCCACGCGTGCACCGATACCCCCCGAGACACGAAAGCCTAGTCGAGGAATGTATATACCTTCTCTCCGGTTAAAATAGCATCAGGTGAGATAGGGGTGGCTCTTGCATTATCTTTTTAACAGCAAGTTTTTCTTTCGTGTCGCATTTCGCTTAACGGCAACGTCGATAAAGCTCATTCCATCTACTTTCCATTCCGCTTAAAGGTATATATTTTGATAACTAAATTGATTGATTCAAATGTAATTAAAGTGAACTAGCGAACCGAAGTTTAAAAATTGACCCGAAGACACGATGTTTATTATTTATTTCTTCTTCTAGAACTTAGTTCAAAAGTCTCGTTAATTAAATTCTATAGATTCTGGTAAAATATCCAAAGATATTCTGAGAAAGTAATTACTACTTGAGATTGATTGGAAGACATGAATATTTATTTATTTTTTTAATTACTTTTAATTTTTCAGAAGCCTCGTATTTTTCATTATTTTTTCAATGTAATAATTCAATTAATGCTCAAAAACTATGGGTACTTATGTATCGTAATTTTAAAAACTGTTGAACATGTTTCTGGTAAACAATGTAAACACTTATAATCATGACGCGGCGAATTATAGCAAAGAAGCTCGTAACCATAAAATGGCACCCGCATTGACTTATCCGTGCGTGATTACACTTTGCATGTATGTATATATATCAGCCGTAACGTTAAACGCTAAAATCTTTCTAATTTTTCCTCGACGAAAAGTTTTCATTATTATTTGCCGCAATCTTCCGAAAGTCGACATTAAGCATTCTGACGCGATTGCACATCCCAAATCTGAATATCTTCCGAAGTGAGGTACTTTTAAAGTTTATTCCGAAAATAATTTGCTTTTCTAAATTTCAATTTCAATTTCGAAGCTTTAATATCAAATTTGTGACACGTTCCGTAGAGTTGTTTACGCGCATAAGATATTAACGACGAATTAATCCGAGTGCGTAAGGACAACGCTGCTCTATCGCTCTACGGAAGACGTCATCGAGTTCCCGCGAAAGCCCACGGAACGTGGGATTCTATAACTGTATTATATCGTGCGAAGAGAAGACCAAGCCATTTCTCGACGTTAGTCTCTCGTAAAAAAAAAAAAAAGAAAAAACGGAACGAACATTACGCTTCTCATTTCAGCTTCGAAAGACGCGATGGATATCACACGATCGTTAGGTAATAGTAGCGGAGTAA